GCGCAACAGCGGTCGGAAAGGGTGCCCGACGGCAGCAGCCACTGTCTAACGTCGCTTTTGGAACCCTATGGAAAAGAGTGTGGGACGCTATGCGGGGGTGTGTTTTTTCGGTGGTTTTAGTAAGCGGTGTATGACTTTCATCTTTTAAAGATTCATAATTTGAGCACCAAATATCAATTTTATGTTATTAAAACATGATTTTCATAACCAGAGGTTGACCAACATTCCAAGGCATTGGCAACAAAAAGAAGAATTACCAGGGTAGAATGAGCTAAGGGCACTATGTCACTCGCTCAAGGCCATAGGCGTGAGCATTGACATGTTTTCATGACACTTCTTCCATACTTCGCACATGAGCTTGGGCAAGATGAGCCACAAACATTGGATGGCATTGTCAAGCTTTGCAGTGGGATCAAGAAAACTAAAAGTCTACAAGTTCTAGGACCCTTTGTGAAGCTCATGCGTTCGTTCAGCTGGTGGGAGAGCTGCGAATTCTATGAAGGAGAGAATTGGCTGTCCAAGTTTGCAATGAACTCCACAGGTACTGCTGCCACGTCCACTTCCACTGATGATATTCAGCTACCACCAAACCTTTCACCCCAAGAAGGGCTGAAACAATTGAAAATCAAGTTATGGTCTTGTGACCCCCCAAAAGCAGCTATCAGAAGGACTTGGTTGCAGAGATGGTGAGACCTCTTTGGACTGCAAACAGCTTCATATCCCAACATGTCAGGTCACCAAGGGAATTTCAGGAGTTGGTCATGGGGATGGCTTCTGGTGATTGGCAGGTCCAGTTGCAAGACCTAGTTGTCCATGGTTTCTTTGATGCCCCCACCATGAAAAAGTTTATGGTGGCACTGAAGTGGGCGCTGCAGAGAACTTGGCAATCCACCATGCACTGCTGATCAAACTCTTGAATACGAGAGCAATCTCTTTGACAGGCACCTTTTTGAGGCCAATGAGATATGCATGCCTTTGCAGGGGGGACAAAGCTGACACAACAAGCAGGCAGATGCAAGCAGACTGGGAAACTATTTTGGAAGCAGAAAGAGTGATGGCACATGACATGGAGGTAAGGCCCATAGAGCTTTTCTATTTTGCTAGGGCATCTGTCCAAGGGCTGTTCTACTTGACCAATGGGCTAGACTTCCTCCAGCGCAAACAAGGCACCAACAGAGTAGCTGCAACACTGGCAAAGACAGCTTGCCAACATCCTGGCAACGCAGTGATCATAGAAAACTCTCACCAAAAGGCAAAAGACATGAGAGAGGCACGCCATAACCAGACTAGCAGGGCACACAAGTACCACAGTGTCTTGGCCTCTGTCTGGAATCCAGAATCTAGACCCCCAACATCACTGTTAGCAACAATGAGAAAGCCCAGTCTTCAGCTGACAAATCCAAAGCGCAGAAAGTTGTTGCCTTCACAAACCCAAACAGCCACACCATGAGCAAGGAGTTCCAGAACCTCATGCAGTTCAAAACCGTCTCCCACTTTCATCTGGCCCAGCACCTCCCATGAGAGCATCTTCAATGAAGTTGCATCCTTGCAGGTTCTGCAGGAAGGGCAGCATGATGTGAAGAAGGAGAGGCTTGAGGTTGCAACTTTGATTTGTTTGGTGGGCAAACCTGGGGACACTCTGGCTTGCAGAAGCTTGGGAAGGGTGATGATGGTGGTGGCAGTAGGTTCATACGGCTTCCTGGGTTGGGAGACGCAGGTGATTGGTGAGGCTGCAGGACCTTTGACCTTTCAAGCGTGCAAGGGAGCAAGTGCAGTACAGTGACATTACGTGACAGATCTAGATGACCACCTGGCCATTCCTACAAAACCTGTGCTTTCCAACACCTTTGGCCCTTTGCAATACCAACAAGCAGGGGAACCCATGACTCTTCCAATGCACAAGGTTTGTTCTCTCCAAGCGTATCAATTAACTACTTTATCAATTGGCTTCAGATACTACTTTTCTCCATGACTTTTCCGATGCAAAAACTCACTTGGCTCGGCAATCATATAAAATTTATTCTCCTCTCTCTCTCTCTCTCTCTCTCTCTCGGTCTGTCTCTATCTCTTTCTCTCTTATATCAGTCCGGGATTCGGGGACCCCAAAAAAGGTGGTCTCAAATTTGGACAACCATATTTTTGCACCCCCCCTCTACAAGATCAACTCTGTCTACAAACCATGAGTCTAGGTAACGGACCGGAGAAAAGCAATTCGAAACACATATTAGAAACATATGTCATATGTTTGTTTATTACCTGCAGAAAACTGACATCCGCATAGAACATTAAAATATAAAACGTGTTTTCTATGAAAAAACATTTATTCAGTTCATCTTACATGTCAGCAGGGGGTTACTGAAGTAATCGCTCCATGAAAGGTATAGTTGAAAGACATGTGTTTTTATTACCGGCGTGAAACACACACCCGCATAGCGTCCCTTTCTGATAGAAAAAGAGGCGCGGGGCCGCGTAGTAGCAGCCCGGGTGATGGCCACAGACCTGTCCTGCTACGTAGCAGCCCAGGTGATCGCCGCCAGACAGCAGCATGGCCACTCCCGGACAAGGTAGTAGCAGCCCGTAGCAGCAGCGCGGCTAGGCCGGTGCAGCAGCCCAGGTAGGTGATGGCCACAGAGCGGCCTGCTGCCCTGTAGACTGCCCAAAACGGCGGGCTGGTGTCGCAGCGCAGGGTTTCAGGGCGGGCAAACGACACCATCTATTTTTGCGCGCAACAGCGGACGGAAAGGATGCCCGACGGCAGCAACTGTCTAACATCGCTTTTGGAGCCGTGCAGCAGCAGCCGAGGTGATGGCCACAGACAAGTCCTGCTGCAACTGGCCGAAAGCAAGTTGAGCCACCGTTTCACCCTGCGGTGTCCCAGGCGCCGCCCCGCCTAGGCGTCAGCTAGGCAGGGGTCGGCGGATATATGTTATATTCATACCTTTATATAACCTTAATCATGTTCATAAATATGTGCAATTACGACTATGAAAATATATGATGGGTTGTCACGTATCTCGGTGAATCTCGGTGTGAAAGCATGTTTCAATATGACAGTACATATGTTAAAGCTGTTTGCGTTGCAGTTTGCAAACTGATTTCGTAGTTAGTTGTACCTTCAATTTTTCTTCTGGAGTGTTTCACTTGCACTCTTTCGCGCTGCCGTTGATGGGCCCCGCCAGTTTCTGCAAAAGGTTTTCGAAGTAAGAGCGGTTGGTAATTTGAACTTAATGTAGGAAGGCTTCCTGGGGCTAGACCATCAAATCAACGATTCTGACGTCTGAGGTTGCTGAACAGAAGAATGGTGCCGTGGCCATGGAAGTGGGTGACAGTGACAGTGACACATGTGTGGACCTGAAAAACTCAAGTTTTCAGGACAAGGTAACAAACTCTGGCGTTTGGTGCGCTTGGGGTATAATTACATATTATGTACCTGAACGGAAGCAGGGAACCTGATTACTGTAATGACCGGTGTCCATTTCCAGGGTTCTTTTCACGAAACAGTATATATAATTAAGCAACTTTAAGAGGAATTCTGAACCAAGTGCCTGTCGCTGATCCACTGCCCGGTCCATATTCAAAGGCCCGTTGGAGTTCTAATACAGAAGATGTCACCATTACTTTGCCCACCACACCACTGTGAGAACCTACTTTTGAACCAATGTCGTTTTCCGGTTTGTGGTTCAAAAGGTTTAAGAGGGGATGCCAAGGCTCCTAAACCCTAAACCCTCCTGTTGTTGCCTGCCGGCAAGGGATTCTCAGGCATTTGTTTTGTTCGGAAAAACCTCCATCCTGCCAAGGCGGCAAGCTTCCAAGAGATTTGCATCTTTGCTTCAAACATCTTGAAACATTTGTCCAACCTTTATCAAGGTTGATGCCGGGCTCAAAAGAGCTAGCGAGGTTTGGCATGGTTTTCCCGACCGATTTGAAGTCTCGGGACAGTTCTCGAGATGTTCTTTTTCCACACAGAGACACGTGAAATTTGTGACCCCGCGTGGATATTGGATGTTAGAATGTTACAGTATACCTTCAAATATACAATACACGCAGCTTGGTGACAGCCTCAGCACCACATGCTCCTTGATTTGCTGATTGACATGGGGCTCTTGAGCCGTGCGTGAACGGATGCCCCACATGTAGGTCACAAGAATATTGGACAAACCCTTCGACAGCCAAAGTCACTTTTTTCGGACGATTCTGAGGTATCTTCCGGCATTTGTCATCATGCTATCGAGCTTCAATAACAATGCATCTTATGGTGTTGAGTGACTTGTCACATTTATCTTGAGTGGGAAGCTTTTGCTGATGTTTAACTTACGGTTGTGTGATTGGAGCATCGCCTGATGTCCGCCTGTTTCTAGGGTTTGCCACTTGTCGGATTTCCACTTGCTGTGAGCAGATGTGGGGTCTAATGCAATGCGAGGTGGAGCACTTTTGCAATTTTCTTCAAGGCAATGGGCTTTGAGGGCCAGACCTGTGAAGTGTGTATTTTTTTTGTTTTCCCTTATCCGAGTCGCAACCAATGCGTGGATCGCACAAGCAGAGCAGCCTCACAGGAACAGCGAAACAAATCCTTTCTTCGGGCTTACTGTAACTCTTCCTCCCCCACTGGTACACATTGCCAAAAGCAGCTGCAAGAGCATGCCAAAGCTTCTGGCAATTTGCATCTTGATATCTAGGTGTCTAATACGCGCACCGTGGGTTGTTGGCCCATAAATACTTGGTTCATCTTGGTTCATTCAATTGCATGACGAGGTACCACCCCAGTACTGTGATTATGCCGTGATAGTCTAATTTGCTCCAATTTTGAAGTTGGCTCGAGCAAAACCCAAGGTCACATACCCATAAGCCCATAGGTACATTCGTCACTTACCCATAGGTCGCCACATGGGTCACCAAGAACGTCTTTCGTTTTGACTCCACCCTTATGCCAGGAACAGCATGGGTGGGAGTCAGCCACTTGGGCAGGCAGGGACTCAGTTGCTACGCAGTTGATGAGAATTCCTAGCCACTGTCACTGTGCCACATGTTATCCCACCGTGATTGTTAGAGCAAGCTACTACCCATGTCAGGCATTTGCCAAACTGCCGGGGACCTTCTGGCTGCGGTGATTATGGCCGTGGCAGGCAAGCCCACTAGAGCAGACCTGAGTGAGTGCTTTGGAAGAAGAACGAAGGGCAAAGCGGGTTTTCCACATTCACACCTCCACCGAGACTAGAGCCACCTGGTGGCTAGTAAAGCCAGCAAGTACACGCGTATAGTCAATTACAGGTAACGTCCTGGGCACAAGTTTCAGAAAACATCAGAAGATATGCTATAGGAAGTCCAGTAGAATAGAACCTGAGTTGTGGCCATGCTGACAGTGAAATTACCGTACTTAGTTCCACAGTTCTATATTGTCCTACGTTGCTTCCAATGCAAGCGACGCAAACATGCTTGTGAACAAGTTAATTGATGAAGTCAAATCTGGCTGTGTTGGATGGTGCTGCGGTTGCAATGAGAAGCGTCAACTTTCCTTATTTGCAGGCACGAATGAGTGCCACAAAATTTTGTGCAACTCCGAACTTTCTCTTCAAAAGAAACTTAACTATATTATATAATTGTAATGCCCTTTGCTGCTAGTAACCTCTTGCTACTAGTAGTAATGCCCCTGCTACTAGTAGCAATGCCCTTGGCTACGAGTAGCTTCTTGCTACTAGTAGTAATGCCCTTTGTTACTAGTAACTTCTTGCTACTAGTAGCAATGCCCTTTGCTACTAGAAGCTTTTTGCTACTAGTAGTAATGCTCTTTGTTACTTGTAACTTCTTGCTACTAGTAGTAGTGATGCCCTGTGCTTCTAGTAGTAATGCCCTTTGCTACTAGTAACTTCTTGCTACTAGTACTAATGCCCTTTGCTACTAGTAGCTTCTTGCTACTAGGAGTAATGCCCTTTGTAACTAGTAGCTTCTTGCTACTATCAGTAATGCCCTTTGTTATTAATAACTTCTTGCTACTAGTAGTAATGCCCTTCGCTACTAGTAGCTTCTTGCTACTAGTAGTAATGCACTTCGCTACTCGTAGTTTCTTCCTACTAGTAGTAATGCCCTTTGCTACTAGTAACTTCTTGCTACTAGTAGTAATGCCCTTTGCTACTAGTAGTAGCTTCTTGCTACTAGTAGTAATGCCCTTTGTTACTAGTAACTTCTGGCTACTAGTAGTAATGCCCTTTGCTACTAGTAGCTTCTTGCGACTAGTAATAATTCCCTTTGCTAATAGTAGCTTCTTGCTACTAGTAGTAATGCTTTTGTTACTAGTAGCTTTTTGCTACTAGTAGCTTCGTGCTACTAGTAGTAACGCCCTTTGCTACTAGTAGCTTCTTGCTACTGGTTGTAATGCCCTTTGCTAGTACCTTCTTGCTACTAGTAGTACTGAACTGCCCTTTGTTACTGGTAGCTTCTTCCTACTAGTAGCAATGCCCTTTTTCGCTAGTAGCTTCTTGCTACTAGTACTATTACTATTGCCCTTTGTTACTAGTAACTTTTTGCTACTAGTAGTAAAGCCCTTTGTTACCAGTGACTTCTTGCTGCTAGTAGTAATGCCTTTGTTACTAGTATTTTCTTGCTACTAGTAGTAATGCCCTTTGTTACTAGTAGCTTCTTGCTACTATTTGTAATGCCTCTGTTACTAGTAGCTTCTTGGTACTAGTAGTAATGCCTGTTGTTACTAGTAGCAAGAAGTTGTTACTAGTAGCTTCTTGCTACTAGTAGTAATGCCCTTTGTTACCAGTA